CCCGGATGTACAGGGTAACGGCGAGGAGGGGGAGGGGGGAATGCCAGGAAGTGAGGGCGCCGCGGACCTGTCCGGTCCTGCGCATGCGCCGCGCGCCGCCCCGCAAGGTAAATCCTCCGCTTTCGCTCTCCGGCCCCGCCTCTCCCGAAAGGGGCGGGGCGAGGCCGGAGACAGGTGGTCCTCGGGGCGCGGCGTGGTTGGCAAGGAGGCGCGGTCACTACCCCACGCCCGCGCCCGTCTTAAAGAGGCAGCTCTGAACGCGGAGATGGGCTCATTCATGGTGGTGGGTCATGGCCTGCCGACGTTCTTCTTTAAGGTGGGGAAACTGAGGCTCAGAAGACCCTGCCTCGAATTAGCGAACTCAGCCAAGGCAGGGACTCAATCTGGGCTCGCAGGCCCGGGCTCCTGGGGAAGCCAGCAAAGTGGCCACATTTCATTCCCCAGGCCTGGAGTGGCTGCCAGGCTGGCACCACGCCAAGGCCCTCCGGCCAGGTGCGGAGCCGCCCTCACCGGGGTCGCTGAACGGGCTCCGCGGAGCCGGGATGCCCCGTTACCGCCCGCGATCTCTGAGGCTGGAGACGCCCTGGGGATTTCAGAAGATCAGCCCCAAGAGATCAGGAGACACCAAGCGAGCTGCACCTCGTCCCCGAGGATAAACCAGGCCTGGGGAAGCAGATGTCTCCGTGCTGAGAACTGGGATGTCGCCAAAGGCCCGGCCTCGTAATTACTTCTGGAATGCGCACACACACACACACACATCCCCCACCCACCCCATTAATCCCCTGCCCTAGAGTAGATCATAGTGACCTCACAGGACATAGCAGGACTGTGCCGGTTTCTGGGACTATAAATCTTTATTGGAGAGGACAGCCTCCTCTTTCTCCCAAGAGGGGCGCTGGGTTTTAACAGCTGGCCTTGCGGTTGATTAGCAGCCTAACGCTTAACCCACTGCTCAACTAGGGCTCATTTTTACCCCCATGAACAATCGGGTGTAAGTAATCACTACTGTTACCTCTCCTCCGGCTGTTTTCTATTTGAGGACTGATCATGACGATTGAGGCAAAGGGTTTTTTTAATTTTAGGGGTAAGGGACCCACTGAAAATCCCACAAAATTGAGGATTTTTCTCCCGAGAAGACAGCACATAGTACATAAATTTACATACAATTTAACGGGGTTTGCAGGCCAGAGGAGCCCTGGTGGTGCAGCGGTTAAGCCTCACCTGCCAAGGTGAAGGTTTGAGCCACCAGGGCCAAGGGAGGATGGTGTGGCAGTCTAGCTAAAGATGCACTGCCCTGAAGCCCAGGGGGGCAGTTGTACGCTGCCCTATAGGGTCTCCGTGAGCGGGGATGGCAACAGGTTGGCTTCACTATTCACCTCACTCAATGTTGGTAGCTCAAATCCACGTGGCTGTGCAGAGAGGTAACCTGGCAACCTGTTTCCTGGCAGATTACAGCAGAGAAAACCCTATGGAACACTTCTACTCCATCACACGGGCTGGAAATGAAAGTGGTTGGAAGTCAACCCTGACAGCTAGGGCGGCAGTGGTTGCTGCTGCTATCATGCAGCCAGAGAACCATCCTCTCTGAAACCCAGACCATGAGTCTTGCCCTACTCAAACAGGTAAGGACCAAGAAATACTTGGGTGTTACTGTTGATGTCTAATAATTTCTTCTAGTCCCCAAGTAACCTTTTTTCTGTCTTCCTCTTGACTTAGGTGGAGAAGCCCTGGTGGCATAGTGGGCTATGCATTGGACTGCTAATCAAAAGGTAAGCAGTTTGAAACCACCAGCTGCTCTGTGGGAGACAGAGGAAGCTTTCTACTCCAGTAAAAAGTTAACAGTCTTGGAAACCCAGAGAGAAAGTTCTGCCCTGTTTTAAGGAGTCACTATGAGTCAGCATCCACTCAATGGCAGTGTGTTTGGTTTGGAGTCTTGAGTTAGGTAAAGCCAAGTGGATTGGCCATATCGTGAGCACATATATTATGGGTGTAGTGAACCTGAAACTGTTGCCTTGAAACCTTCTGCATCTTTAAACCTTAAGCCAAAAGTATCCCCTTAAGTCATCTTAAAAGTGAATCTAGTTTTGTTTAACTAGGAAAAGAAAAAAGAAAAAGGTCTGTCTTGAGCGCTATGTCCTGTTTAAGAATCACCAGTATAGGATCAAATGTACAACAAATAAGAACCTTAGGGGGCATGGCATTTGTGTTAATCAGAAAAGGAGGGTGAAAACACAACTCAAAGAAGGTCTTCAGTGTTCCTGTTGCACATACAGGAATTGATGGATGAGTGCACGCTTGCTGTGTATACTCTCAGCAATCAAATCACATTTAAAGGGGGGAAAACTATAGGATTCTACCCTGTACATCTGAGGGAATAACAATCATAAAAAGACATCGAGAGATTAGGTGACTTTTCAAAAATTCGCACACACACACACACACACACACACACACACACACACACACGGCAAGAGTCCTAGATGCCTCAGCCTTTTTACCCTAAATGTTACACTTCAGGTTCATGACGTGGGGGTTCTGTACCATGTGTACTCTCCCATCAATTTCACATGAACTCATGTTTTGCAAACACTGGGGCTGCCAGAACAGTCTCCACAACTCAAGAGCTTTGGCCAGTAGGTCTGACGCTGACACTTGCTCTTCAAAACCAGCAGCCGCTCTGAGAAAGCGGAAGCTTTCTACTCCCATAGTTAGTCTTGGAAACCTACAGGGGCAGTTCTACTCTGTCCGATAGAGTTAATTGGTCAGAAATGATTCGAAGGCTGTGAGTAATAGGGGCACACTGTCCTCAGTTTGGACCAAAGAAGAATCGACAGACCAGTCTCTTAAGATATAGCTCCGATTTGCCACACATCTCCAACCCAACCTCCTCTCTCCCACTGAAAGCTGTGATCTCTTCCAGAGTATCAGCCGATAAACAAGCAGTTCAGCTGGGCTCTCTCAGGTCTTGGGGAGCTCATCACTTCAATGAGAGTGTTCACTAACCGGGAACTCTTCTTTCACACGGAGCAGAAACTGGGTGCCCACCAACTTCCATCCTTCTCAAGGTAGGCAACAGATATGATACTGGCCCAGTGGAACTCCCAATCCAGCAGAGAAAATGGCTCAGTAGCAATGTAGGATGAGGCTTGGGAGGGGGAGGGAATGTCCCTTCCTGAGGGACCTTTCTCCTAAGCATTCCCTGGCCCCTCCTGGTCCATGCCAGAACTCAAGAGAAAGCTCCACCCCTGCCCACCAAGGGAGATGTCCGAAAGAGCAAAGCCCTGTGTTTTCCCTAGGTCCTCTTTACCTTCCACATAAACATTCACACTCCAGCCGAGGCCAAAGCTTGACACGTCTTAACGTGGATCAGAAGAGGCACCTGAGAACGGCTGCCCCTTGGAGCTGCACCATGTCAGTGTCGCTGGCTGGTACAGGTAGAAACTCAATGATGACAGAATGACATTTTTAAAAGGCCTGTGTTGAGAAACGAGCCTAAAGCATAAGACAGCCCTACATCTCAAACCCAACCCACTGACATCAAGTGCACTCTGACTCACAGTGACCTTACCGGACAGAGCAGACTGCTCCTTAGTGTTTCTCACATGGTAAGTCTCCCCCCTACGCCTCCCAGGTTTGCCCTCTAACATTGGGCTAAGTCAGTTCCCATCAATTCACCTGTGTAAGTATGTCACTGAAGGGCATAGCTATGAGGTTTACATTTTTTTTTCCTTCGATGTTAATTGCCAAAAGAGGCTTAGTAAGCCTTTGTGGGAACAGACAGCTCTGTCTTTCTCCTGTGGAGTGGCTAGTTTGAACCATGAGCTTTGCAATGAGCAGCCCAATGCATGACCCTCTGGACTATCAGGGTGCCTTCAGAGCACTTGGCTCTGACTCCCCAGCGCTTTCAATCATTGGGAACAGGTAGTTTGTTTTTTTTTAGCCATTGCCATGTGCCAGGCACTGTACTAGGCCCCTGACTGGCATGTCCTCATTTGCTTCCTGTAGTCAGTCCATGCAGAGCTGTGGTCCTAGACTACGAACAAGATCCTGATCCAGGATTCAAGCCCAATGAGCTCCCCCTCCAGTTTGCTCACCCCTCCACCGACACTACTTTTGCTTGTTAGGCTAGTTACATTTCAGAAGATCCCGTTGCCTCTTTTCTGTCTTATTAAATGAACCTTAAAAACCATACAAACTAAGGTGTTTCACTCAGTCATTGACTCATTCAATCACCACACAGTGTTGCCTCCTCTCTAAGGTGCCCAGAGAACAGTCCACTACGATTCACAAAGTTATCAGTGGCTGGTTCCTCACAAGGGGGCAGCCTCGTTTCTTCTTCATTGTCTATTCTTAGTCTGGAAGCTCCAGGGAAACCCGTTCACCGTGGGGTGGTCCTGCTGGCATTTAAAATATCCTGGCATTGCAGCACCATGCCAGCCACCATCACAGTGTGGCACACTGATAAGGCACATGGTGGCTGCAACCACGGGCTCAAACGTAACCGCGATGGTGAGGATGGTGCAGGACCAGGCACGTGTGTTGGCTCTTGTGCCCTGGGTCACTCTGAAGTGGGACTGAGTCTAGCAACCAGGAGCACTGGTAGTGCGGTGGTTACTCGTTGGACTGCTAACCACAAGGTCGGCAGTTTGGAACCACCATTCACTCTGAGAGAGTAAGGGGAGCCCGTCGGCTCACATAAAAATTCACTGCCTCGGAAACCCAGCGGTGCAGTTCCACTGTCCCATATGGTTCTTCTGAGCAAGACACAATCTACTCCGTGACTCAGTGACAGTGGGTTGGGTTTGGGCTCTACTGTGCGCTGGGTCCTTGGACGAAAGGAGCCTCGTGGAATCGTGAGTCATGCTTTAGGCTGCTAGCAGCAAGGTGAGCAGTTGCAAATCACCAGCCGCCCCAGGGGGGAAAGTTTTCTAGCCTCAGATACCTGCAGGAGCCGTTCCACACCGCCCTATAAGGTCACAGTGCAGCAGAATGGACATGATGGCAAAGGGTGTGTGTGTGTGTGTGGTGTGTGTGTGTGTG